TCGTGACTTGGCGTTTTGGGACAATATCGATGACATTTAGGGCATAACGAGTCCCTGTTACTCTTAAGGGGGATCGGATACACCCTCTCTTCAGTGATGTGAACTAACGGCGGCTGTTCGAAACCCATTGCGGACAGGTTTAGTTCAACTGCGTACCTGTGGCTAGTTCGATGTTAACGACTTGACCATGCCATCGTTCGAGATAAAAGCTTCGGGAGGCCTCTTTATGGTCTTTGTAATTCGTCGACTAATAACTGTTTCCGGTGTATGTCAATCTCTAAACGTTTAAAGGGGTCGTCTACCATATTTGGGAGCATTTCGAGGTGGAGAATAGCTGTTCATATTTGGACCTCGTTACGGTGATTGCCGAACATCCCTTCGGCGCCTCCTTCTCTTCCAAAGGGAATTTTTGTACTTTTTTTTTTACTTAGAAAGGGCTCCAGGAGTAGTCCATGTTAGCCGCCCTCATACGCCTAAAAGGATGACATGTGATCTGGGAAGACGTTGTCCTGTACACATATAATCCTGCTATAGAAAAATATATGTGCATTTGTTGTGGAAGTAATGGTCTTGAATGTTATTTGAACGATTCTACGGAAACTATAAAGCTGTTAGCCCCTCGTGGTGCAATGATAATAAATCTGTTCTCGTTCGTGATTTGCTCTTCAACTGAGAATAACGTCCTAGAGAGCGTTAAGCAGCAATGCGTAATCGATCCTCCCGAAAAGACTAACGGACTGAGGGGGATGTTTTCGATTGTTTGCAGAGATCACAAAGTCGTACACCAACCACATATTGCTCTGAGTCAATCACTTGGACGTTAGCAGAAGTTGAGACACTGATCTGCGATCGGTAATAATCACCGTACGGAGGAAATCATAGCCACCGATTTGGTTTGCTTGAGGGTATCTTTTAAGGAGAGTTGAATTGCACCTGTACGGCGATGAATAAGAACCCACGGACAACCGTGTGCCCTTGGCCGACAGATGAGAACAGGCAAGTTCCAGTAAGCAGCTCAGAAGACGAAGATGCGATTAGTGGAACAAGAACTTTCTTGGCCTGACGCTTCAATTTCTGCGCAATTGTCTCGACAACAATGTGTTGTGGAAGTGTGTTTCATACAAGCCCCAGGTTAACGCAGAGCTGTCGAGACGCGCAGTACTTCAGCAAGGCAGATGACTGATCCGAGTGCTCCTTCAAGACTGTCACTTACGTTTTCGCAAAAACCGTCAGAGGAATGACCAAGGAACTGACGGAGGAAAAAATGCAGATGTTAAGGTATTAGGCCTCCGTGTTTCATGTTCCATTCCTCCTCACGGGGCACCGCCGCGCAACCTGCTTTCCAAGGTGGAAGTTGGTGCGCTTAAGGAACTCAGAGCCGACAATGACCTCGTTATTGTGCCTGCGGACAGGGGGCGTTGCACGATCGTATTGGATAGGACAGACTACATTCAGAAAGCCAAACGCTTGTTGGGGGATCGTCTGTCCTATGTCCCGTGCGGATCCAACCCCATCTGATAGTTGACACACGAGATCATTGCGATGTTGTTGGCCATGGAGAACCCAGATGCGATATCACCGATAGACTGACGCGTGGCGAGGGCGCAGGAAACGACCGTGGCCCGATTCTACGGTTTCTCAAAAGTTTACAAAGAGAGCGCTCCTCTCCGGCCAATCGAATCACTATACTGAATTTCAAACTACGGACTGGCAAAGTGGCTCTTTTGATGTTTCCAGTTTCTGACCTACAATTTGAACATCACAATTATCACGTCAACAGAATTCTTGGAGAAACTTATAAGGGTAAGTCTCCTGCCATGCAACGTCATTGCATCCTTTGATGTCATGCGCCTTTTTACTTCTGTTGCGCAGGACTTGACAGTCGAGATCATTGAACTATTTCTAATGGAGAAATACGATGAAATGGAGAAGAATCGCCTCAGACATGCCCAAACCTCCAACTCCTGAAATCATATCTGAAGTCATACTTTTACGTTCAACGGAAATTCATACGGGA